TCAGACTCCATGGTAATGAAGATCGTGCACTGGGAATTGTACGGGAGTTTGAAGAGCAAGCGGTGAGGATGGGGCGTAGGTCAATTTTTAAAGAAGCGGCTAAGTGCGCGGAGGAGTTGGATAGATAGACGTTATGATAGATAGACGTTTATTAAAAAGAATACCTTAATAGCAGCTGGAAGCTGAATTGCAAAGGTGTACAAATTATGTAATAGAACTCTACAATAAAATCAAACCTGAAAGGGAACTAATTTACATAAAAAATTATAATAAATGTTAGTTAAAATGTCTTGCGCTTGCTGGAATGAAAGTATCTCTGAACTGATTTGTTTTAAAGGAAACTCTAAATGGTCTGCGTCGTCGTAACTCCATAAGTTGATCATAAGAATTTTCTGTAAATAACAGTCAAACTTTGTTTAAATGGGGTGTTGGCCCATCTGATTTCTCGACTTTTTATCATACTTTAAAACGTCCCAATCTATCCATATCAACTCGGCCAAGCTTTTGTAAATTGCATTTTAATTGAGCCGCTATCCGTGAGGTTTAATGTTTGTATATAGATGTTGACATTTGTATATAGCTGGTTGTATAAACTATTTTGTCTTACTTTTCCTCTTCGAGTAGCCGTTAGTGAATTTAAACGTTGCCTACACCTAGATTGCAGGATAATGGCTGATGATTATTTGACTCGTACGGCCCCGCGAGTGGAACTCCATGAAAAAAAAAAAAATGGTGAAGGCTGACGTGTGCGCTGTAAGTTTATTATTCGGACTAAAAAAAAAAAAAATAAAAAAAAAAAAATAAAAAATAAATAAAACTGAGGAGCAAACATTGTTCAAACGAAATCGAGAGGGTTGTTTCTATTAAAGAGAAGGATCATGCTTATTATGTGTATATCGAGTTATGGATGCATGCAGGAAGTCTGGAGAGCATGAGAGAAGAGTAAAATTGGCTCCAGGCACGGTGGAGAGCAATCATAGCTTCTGGAATTATCAACACTAACAATAATATCAACCGTTCGGAAAATAAAGGGTAAAACTTGCAAATCTCTTGAATTTATGAGACCCGTGCAGAAGATTTACGCTACGAGTATTGTTTTTTACTATAATTCACGATCAGAAATTGTATATATAGCTTTGTGTTGAATTTGATCTTGAAAATTGTACGGTTTCAAATCAAAATCTTCTAATGAAGAACACTTTTGGCACATATCAGCACTTCAAATTATATTTACCGTACTAATGAAGAGTCTCCTACGTCATAAAGCCTCTGTTGAAGTCAAAACTCAGTTTCAAGTTGTTTTCAGCCATGATCCGCATCGCGTCTGGGAATGAAGTATCGTCAATTCCAAAACTAATTTCCTTACTTAAAAGAGCTTCACGCTCATTGTTTTTTGAGACGAGTACTATTTAGCATATCTTCTTTTCATTTTGAGCACCAAAGTTCTTTCTTAATCTGGATAGAATGGGAAAACAATCTTGAACGTTTTAAAAACCTCGCGGAAATTCGATGGAACTTTTCATCGACAATGACGTCAGCCTAAACCATCTCTATCGTGTAGTATAGCTCTTAATGAAAGGCTGAAATGCAAGGAATCATCGCGATATACCCTTACCTGAACATCCATTATCAGCAATCTTTGTACCCTGTCCATTGCTCCCCCTGACCATGATCTGTACCCAGGATTTCCTGTTGTGTTCGTTCTGGGGTCACATCCTGAATGTCTTGACGCAGCTGTATTTATGCCTCCTCCGCCACCAGCTATTATCAATGGTGTTTTGGCTCCTCTAACTACAAATGTGCCTCCACCACATCCAGAAATATTTCTCTTCTCGTTTATTTATCCAATAAGTAACTTCACTCTTGTTTAAGCGGAACGTTCCAATCATTGTTGCTCCTCGTCCTATGTAATATCCTTCCGCTGCTCCTATTGATTCTATTCTGTAGTCACCAGTGTAGGGTACAGTTCAGTTTTGAATTCCGCTGGACCGTGTAACTTGTCCGTCATGGTCCTGACCCGTGTAGTGACTGCTCAGTGCTGTTGAACCATATATACCAGTGGCATCGAGATTTTTAAATGGCTTTGAATGCTGAGAGGCAAAAAATAAAGTTCACCATTTTACAATGCTAAAATATCACTGAGTGCCCGCGCCAAATGATGTTTATCATTCAATTGACGTAAACAACAATCCAAAAGTAAACAATCTGAGATCAAATTAATTAACAGACACAGTCATCAAGAAAGGACACGAGTCTTTTAAGGCAAAGGAGGGCGCAAGACGTGCGTAACGTGATGCTAATTAAGAATGATTACAGAATGAAAATATAACTGTGCTTAAAAGCATTGTAAACTTGACTAAAATCCAAGCAGATAGTATAATGCAACCAAAACTAAACCAACACAATTTGTCTTCAACGACTCGTGAATCATTTGATGACAGGAAGTAGCACCCTAGACACGAAACGTGGAATGAAATGAATACTGCGATGGATGCAACGCGAGGTAAATGACACATTAGCAGCCGACTGATCCCTCTACATTACTATACACAGCTTTCTCATGAAAATCGTTGATGTTCTGGATACGCTCGTCAAGTTTAAGCAAATATAAACAATCTTATTTCGATGCTTGGAACAATTTAGGTAAAAAGATTTCATAGTTACTTGTGCATTTTTTTGCCATCACCATTAAACCCAACCACGCAGCTGCAGTTAAAAGAACTTTCGGTATTGTTGCACTGGGCATTGACATCACAGTTGTGGGTATTGGTGTTACACTCGTCTACATCTGTAAAAACAAACTCTTTCCATTAATAATGAAATTAAAAAAGAAAAATTGATATAAGCCTTTGCAGGTAAGTTCTGATTTGCTGATTTGATGATCTGTGATACTCGACAAGATTGAAAGCTCACTGAAAGTACATCATGTGAACGATGTTTGGGCACCAGTCATCACTAGTTATCGGAGGGAGGGGGGGTTTGGAGGATCACATGGTTTTTAGGGAGAGGGGATATATACAGAGTGTGATACATTTATCTTACTAAAACTTTTGTTGTGTATTATCGCTGAGTATTTTTACGAGTTGTGCCGTATTTTTGACGAGCCCGTGGGGCAAGTCAAAATACAAACAACGTATACAAATAACCTATTTCCTTAAAACAAGTTCTTTCAGTTACTTAAACACACAGGCCAGCCTTTCTTATTATTTATTGTTCATTCGTTTAGTTTATATGCTTGATACCTCATATCATCATTCTAAAAAAAAATAGTAAAGATCTTGTGTAGTCTCAATTCGGTTTGTAGATAAACAAGTGATTCACTTTGACGTCGGTTAAAAGGGAAGGTTTGGATTGATTTCTTTTCCGTCATATCAGAGTGTTTTAGTTTCGTTTTTTGTTCCTTTTCGCTGCTATTACTCTTTTTATTAGACGTACTTTGCTCTTTAGTGGTCTCTCATTTTTACTGTAGCCCTTACCTTTTACACAACGTTCTCCTAGTAACCAGGCGGACAGACACACTTGTATCGTTTGTATGTAAATCCAACCAGGCAGGTTGCATTGTTGCAGCACATGTTGAAGCACGCTTGTTCTGATTGAGAAAGACATTAAAGCAATGCTTTTCATGAGATAATTGATATGTTACATATCATCTGCTTGATAATAACGTACCTAAGATATCATAAAAACACAGAAAGACCTGTCCACAAATGTTCGCAAATTTGTTCCAAAGTAACATTAATTACTTGTACTTCTCAGTGCTAACTGAAAGAGACATCATTTTGTTGCTGTTTCAGTATCAGCTCTGCTTCAGGAGGGTCCATGGAAAAGAGTAGGAAAATTGATTTTTTTATTAGTTTCCTTAATGTTCTGAGAGTACGAAGATGATTCAGATGATAACATCTAAGGAAAAAAGCGACATTAGGATGTTTCACCCATTTTTAGTTTTAGGATCGAAAAAAAATTACCGGGTGTCTGTTTAAAACTAATCGAAAATCATAAATAATCGATGGGTTTTTCCATCGACATTACTAGGAAATGTTATAGGCTGTGTTTTTTCTCATGTAAAACATAAGCGTCTCTGAGAAAAAAATTAAGTGATTAAGATTCTTGCGATTCTTGTGATTGCATCACGTGGACATACGTGAAAAACTGTCGGAAAATTCCTGCCACTAAAGGTGTTTTCGTAACGAAAAAGAAACGATGTTTTGTTAAAATTAATTGTAACCTTATGTCGACGACCTGTTTCTTTTTCTTTTTTCTTTTTCGAGGTGTCTCGAAATATAGGGAATCCCCATCCCCCCCTCCCCCATCCACTTAGATCTGTCATTTTTTCAAGGTTTGTTTCTTCGTTTGTTCCTTTGCTATAATTCTTCGTTTATCGCGTTTTTAAATCTAAAACATCACATCATTTGCTCGCAATTTAACGGAATTTGAAAAGTTCCATTACAAGATCATGAAATTCACAAACAATATACTGGAGAACTTTTTTTATTAATACCTTTGCCTTAAGTTTCTAGGATCAAC